ATTGTCTTTGGTGTATATGTTCATATATCTGCTTACTACAGGTGTTTGTACTTAGGCTTTACTTAGGTCATTTCTGATTTGCCTGATCTTGGCCTCTGGCAGATGCAGTAAGCAGATTAGTCTCTGCTTACAAGGCGTCCCCGACTATACCAGTAGTACCCGCACGAGGCGGGGCGGAAGTTGCCTTAAAGAGAGAGAGAGAGAGATATATATATATATAAGACCTCTCTCATCTATAGAACTTGCATGCGCCGTGTGCCAGCCAAGCCCGTGCGTGCATGCACTCTGCGAAAGTTGTGTCGTGTTTCACATGTCACATTTGAAGCTCCACTTCGCACTTCGCACTTCTCACTGCACTCTTCACACTCCACACTACACACTTCACACTCCACACTTCACACTTCTGTTGGTTGCTTTGTGCGAAGCTGTTGCGCAGATGTTGTCCAAGAACATGACCCGCGCACGACCCCGGCGCAATGCAACGCCAAGCAAACACTTTCTTCACACTTCACACTGCACCCTTCACACTTCACACTTGCACTTCACACTTGCACTTCGCACTCGACACTTCATCTCTCAAATCATGTGAGCTCTTCTCACCTCATCTCCGCTCTTCTCATCTCATCCCGTCTCTTCTCACATGTCAATTAAGCAAGTTCTTCTCAACTGTTTTCATCTCATCCGAGCACTGATCAACCTTTCTCATCTCCTTGGAGTTCGTCTCAACTCATCTTAGCTGTTCTGCCCGCAAGAAAGCTCTTACTGTCAGAGAGAGGTCTTTTGCGCAAAAAAACATTGGGCGCAGAAAGTTGTTGCACACAGACACTTGAGACACAGACGCATTTATGTACATACAACAGCCTTTCCGAAATACTTTGTACTACAAAGCTTGCACAAAGCACTTCCCAGTACTACTTTGTACTACAAAGCTTGCACAAAGCACTTCCCAGTACTACTTCGTACTACAAAGCTTGCACAAAGCACTTCCCAGTACTACTATGTACTACAAAAGCTTGCACAAACTACTTCCCAGTACTACTTTGTACTACAAAGCAAGCAAAAGCACTTCTTAGTACTACTTTGTACTACAAAGCTTGCACAAAGCACTTCCCAGTACTACTTTGTACTACAAAGCTTGCACAAAGCACTTCCCAGTACTACTATGTACTACAAAGCTTACACAAACTACTTCCCAGTACTACTTTGTACTACACAGCTTGCACAAAGCACGTCCAAGTACTACTTTGTACTACAAAGCTTCCACAAAACACTTCCCAGTACTACTTTGTACTACAAAGCTTGCACAAAGCACTTCCCAGTACCACTTCGTACTACAAAGCTTGCACAAAGCACTTCCCAGTACTACTGTGTACTACAAAGCTTGCACAAAGCACTTCCCAGTACTACTGTGTACTACAAAGCTTGCACAAAACACTTCCCAGTACTACTTTGTACTACAAAGCTTGCACAAACCACTTCCCAGTACTACTTCGTACTACAAAGCTTGCACAAAGCACTTCCCAGTACTACTGTGACCAAGCAACCTTAACGCAGCCATTACATTGCGATCTGCAGAGACTGAGTTGCAAAACACAATAGAACTACGCGCAACGGCGTCGGAAATTGCAGCTCCAAAACCGGATCTCGACGCCAAAGCGACAAAAAGACGATTTTGAAGCACTTTTTAAGTTTATCCCACTACTTTTGAGGCAAGCTTGCACAAAGAAAGCTTTTACACACAGCAAGTCCTTTCGCAGAGAAGCTTTTACACACAGCAAACTTTTGAAACAGAGAAGCTTTTACACACAGAAGCTTTTACACACAACAAGCCTTTACACAGAGAAGCTTTTACACACAGCAAGCTTTCACACAAAGCAAGCGTTTACAGTTTACACACAGAACACTTACACACAGTGCTTTTACACATGGCAAGCGTTTACACACAGAAACTTTTGCACAAAGACGCTTTTACACACAGGAGCTTTTACACACAGCAAGCTTTTACACACAAAATCTTTTACACACAGCAAGCTTTAACACACAGCAAGCGTTTGCGCACAGAACACTTACACACAGTGCTTTTACACATGGCGAGCGTTTACACACAGAACACTTACACACAGCGCTTTTACACATGGCAAGCGTTTACACACACAGCAAGCTTTTTAAACAGAGAAGCTTTTACACACAGAGAAGCTTTTACACACAACAAGCTTTTACACAGAGAAGCTTTTACACACAGCAAGCGTTCACACACAGCAAGCGTTTACACACAGGGCACTTACACACAATGCTTTTACACATGGCAACCGCTTACACACACAGAAACTTTTACACAGAGATGCTTTTACAAACAGAGAAGCTTTTACACACAGCAAGCTTTTACACACAAAATCTTTTACACACAGTTTATCACAACAGGACCTCAACGCCAAAGCAACAAAAGCACGATTTTGAAGCACTTTTTAAAAGGAGTTTTAAAACAAAAATTACTAGCGCCAAAATTGAAAAATCTGCTGACAAATCACTGTTGCAGCCTTGATGCAGCCACTCCAATACTATTTACGAGACCCAGCTGCAAAAGACAATAGTATTACCCATGCAGCCGCGGCACAGAGCAACATTCATGCAGCCATTCCAATGCGATCTGCCACCACAGCTTCAAGAAACGCAAAGAACTACCCACACAGGAACAACCACGCGTTGCAAAACACATAGAAGGAACACTTCGCGACAGAAACGACCCCAGCCGCACCCGCCGCACACACGAGGTACCTTTCATCGCCGGCTGCAGCCACTTTACACACGGAAAAAAACAAGGTTTCGTGCTCCGGCTTCCTCCCCAAAACATAGCCCATGCAACATTCATGCAGCCATTCCAATGCGATCTGCCACCACGGCTTCAAGAAACGCAAAGAACTACGCACACAGGAACAACCACGTGTTGCAAAACACATAGAAGGAACACTTCGCGACAGAAACGACCCCAGCCGCACCCGCCGCACACACGAGGTACCTTTCATCGCCGGGTGCAGCCACTTTACACGGAAAAACACAAGGTTTCGTGCTCCGGCTTCCTCCACAAAACATAGCCCATGCAACATTCATGCAGCCATTCCAATGCGATCTGCCACCACGGCTTCAAGAAACGCAAAGAACTACGCACACAGGAACAACCACGCGTTGCAAAACACATAGAAGGAACACTTCGCGACAGAAACGACCCCAGCCGCACCCGCCGCACACACGAGGTACCTTTCATCGCCGGGTGCAGCCACTTTACACGGAAAAACACAAGGTTTCGTGCTCCGGCTTCCTCCACAAAACATAGCCCATGCAACATTCATGCAGCCATTACAATGCGTTTTGCAGCATCCCATGGCAAACCTGCACCTATCTACGCACGTGGCAACATCAGATGACGACAATCATGCAGCCATTCCAATGCTATTTGCAACCAGAGATTCAAGAACCGCATAGAACTACGCACACAGACATAACCACTCGTTGCAAAACACATAGAAGGAACCGATCGCGACAGAAACGACCCCAGCCGCACCCGCCGCACACACGAGGTACCTTTCATTGCCGGCTGCAGCCACTTTACACGGAAAAACACAAGGTTTCGTGCTCCGGCTTCCTCTCCAAAACAAAGCCCATGGGCATCATTCATGCATCCTCACCACTTCCCTTCGTCATCACTTCCCAAAGTCACCACTTCCCCTCATCACCACTTCCCTTCGTCACATCCCCACTTCCCTTCGTCACCACTTCCCCATCGTCACCACTTCCCTTCGTCACCACTTCCCATCGTCACCACTTCCCTTCCTCACCACCTTGTGTCATAGCCACCACCTCCCACGTCCCCACGTCCCTTCCTCACCACTCCCCTTCATCACCACTTCCCTTCGTCACCACTTCCTTCCTCACCACTTCCCATCGTCGCCACTTCACTTCCTCACCACTCCCCTTCATCACCACTTCCCTTCCTCACCACTTCCCTTCCTCACCACTTCCCTTCCTCACCACTTCCCATCGTCACCACTTCCCTTCCTCACCACTTCCCTTCCTCACCACTTCCCATCGTCACTACTTCTCATCATAGTCAATTCCATTGCTTCTTATTCTTTTGTGAGGTATTGTTAGCTCACCACTTCCCTTCCTCACCACTTCCCATCGTCACTACTACTTCTCATCATAGTCACGGCTGTAGTCAATTCCATTGCTTCTTATTCTTTTGTGATGTATTGTTAGATCACGCACCACCCTTCATCATAGTCAATTCCATCACTTCTTATTCTTTTGTTATGTATTGTTAGATCACGCACCACCCTTCATCATAGTCAATTCCATCAAGTATAGATCACGCACCACCCTTCATCATAGTCAATTCCATCAAGTACAGATCGCGCACCACCCTTCATCATAGTAAAAGTCATTCGTAACTCGGAAGTATTGCTTCCCAACTTCCTTTGACAACACTACAACACTACAACACTACAACACTACAACACTACAACACTACAACTGCAACCGCAGCGCCAGCTGCAACTACAACTCCTACTACAACTTCAGCTACACTACAACTACACTTCAACTACACCTCAACTTCAACTTCAACTACACTACTACAACAACAATTACAGTGACACTACGCTACAACTACAACTACAACCAGAACTACAACTACGAAATTACAACTTCAACAACATCAACCCCACTACAACTACAACTACAACTAGAACTGCAACTACAACTACAACTACTGCACTACACCACACTACATCCAGGAGTTGTGAGTGAGGTGACCACTGCAACCATTGCAACCACTCCAAGAAGCACAACTCCAACCACCTTTCGGTCCATCAGTGGATTCGCTCTGCCATCCGTGATTCACAACAACCAAGCTCTCCTACAGGTTTCCTATTGTTGAAACTTCCGCCACCGCCTTGTGCGGTACTACTGGTAAGAACGACAACGTTCTGAACTCAGGAGCACGCAAACTTGGTCTTCACCCTTCTTCTCAGCCTCCTCAATCATGATCCAGAGTCTTTCCTGCCAACATGCATCTTGCGGCATGGCTGCACCCAGCAACTTCCATAGATGCCAAGTGGGCTCAAGTGGGCTCAAGTGGGCTCAAGTGGGATATGGAGATTCCCAGAATAACTTTCAAGCAGGCGACTAGCTGCACTCTCATCTGGATGTTCTCCGTTTGCAGCTGCTGAATCCTTAGCACCAAACGCACCAACAGAATTTGTGTCACCAGCGAACTTGGCCAAGGAAAACCTGGAAATTACAACCTCCAAATCAGGCTGCACGCTTGCCAGGAAGCTTTGGATCAACCTCCTTCGTCACGCTCTCTTTCGGTTTCTCCTTACAAAGAACAGACCAACAGACTCTTTCATATTTGACGGCATCGTGAAAGACTCCAGCCTAGGGTTGGAGTCGTGTTCAGAGTGGCTCAGAAAAAGTATTGTATACTGCAAAATGTTCAATAACTCATGGCTCAAGATGCCCCTCAACTTGTAGCATCGCTGTATCACACATGAAACTTCCCCAGGCACTCTGCGCCTCTTCCGGAGACTTAGCTCCTGACCGGGCCAGGCCATGTCTGTATTGACCCAGGTGTTTTGTGAGGATTGTCCCTTGGTCAAAGGGATCCTTGAATTAATGCAAAGGGAGAATGATTACCAGTCCTTGAGAGCCACTGCTAAAACCGGTAGCTTTCGATAAAACCACTGTATCCTTCTTAAAGCCAGGGGTATTGTCAATTTGCTTGTAATACCGATATCATGTTTCCTTCAAGCTTGGGACCTGTCAAATTGCTCTGAAGCTGCCTGTCGAGGTCGCGTCGGACAAAGTGCTTTGGCCCTGGGCAACAGTGGCTCTGAGCTGCGAGAAGCTGAGGACACCAACTTTCATGACGAGAAAAAAACGACTTCGAAATTCGACAGTTCAAATCATGACAAGAGAAGCTGCCTCAAGGGTGCAAGTCGTCTGCATCGCCTCAAGGGAAGAAGTTGTCTGCGTTGCCTACAAGTCAATGGAGACTTTGGTTTCCGCTTCTTAAAACTCAATCTCGCTCTGTCAAATCAACCTAGCTTCTTGTTATCATGATGTCACTCATATCAACGCCTCGATGAATCGTTCAGAGTGAGACTCAAACGCAGTGAAATACGTGAGTGCTCTGAGTGCAACATACTCTTATAAATGCGAGAAGCTAGACTCTACAGTGTACCAGTGTCTACAGGTGCTCTCGCGATGAGGAGTCACAGGTGAGTTCAAGCTGAAAGAACTGGCGATGGAAACCCGGCCCTGGCGCCTCATCTGCAAGGAGCCCTCGCAAAGTGTCGATGCTGCTCAGGAGTGGCTTTCGCACATCCATCAATGAGGCGGCACCTGGAGAACTCCGGAACCAAGCGGACAAAGCGGACCAAGTTGGTTGGTGGTTTCAAGCTAGTCACGTGGGGGTCAATCATCAGGAAGTTTCTTTCCGCCGTTTTCAACTCTACACGTCCCTTCAACTTCACTGTTGATGACAGCAAGGCATTGTTACGCTGGCTCTGAAATTGCATGGAAGCCAAGGGGACTGGACAAAGCGAAGAATATGCGCTGCCCCGACCGGGCCTATGCTGAGCACCAAACAGACCATAGTGACTATGACCAGTGAAAGAATGCCCCTCTTCGAACTCCTTGTGCCATCCTGTCCGCACATGTTCAAACGGAAGAATGTCTCACGCATTGGTGACTGAAGCTCCAGCACTTCTCTGAGCTACCTCAAGCAGCCTTATTATGGTCATGCGGGGTCAAGACAATATGAATGCTTGGTATTACCTGCAAGGCAAATCCAAGGGTCTTTCTTCTGTTGAAGTCGACGATGCAACTCCTTATTGGACTGATTCCTGAGTCAATTTTGCAAGGATGGTGTACAATTCTCCAAGCAAACTTTCAAAACTGGTTGCTTCAACATCAAAAAGAGAAAAATAATGTCAAAACGAGAAGAAAAAAATGACAACATCTTCAAAGCTTCAAAAAAAAGTGCCATGATCCTCATTTTGTGCCAAGGATTTGAAGATTGACCATGCTGGCACTCACCAAATCGAGGTGCAACTCTCGGGCATAGCGCTGAGCTTTTTGTCGTTCGGAGTCTAGGGACTTCAAATGGTCCATCAAAGCCATGGCAGTGTCACGGGGCAAATGGTTCCTTGGATTCCCATGGATTCCCATCAAAATTCATGACCATCAGGTTCCTTCAAATGACCCCTCAGCCCACTGGTCAGGAGCGCAAGTTGCGTGGTACACAAGTTACACCCCATCTCGAACATGGGATAATCTAAGGTGCGCTGGAAGTCATTCATGTGGTCTCCAATGATGAGTTTCACGACTCTTGAGAGAGCAGCCTGCAAAATATCTGGTATCCACAAAAGTTAGGCGAAAGGACTCCGAATTTTCTGCCAAGCCCAAAGAGATCTAGCAGCAAGACCTGCTAGAATCTGCTAGAAAAGCCAAGTATCAAGATTTCAAAGTGCCACCTCAGTGCAAGGCATACTGTGTGGATTCCACTGGAAGGAAAAGCCGCAGTCATACCTGTCATCTGCGCAAGCCCCTCATCTCTACCCAACCATACCTAAGCTTTGATGATGCCACCTACGCAATGATTTGCTGTGGTCTCACAGGACCTGCAAATTCTTTGAGATCAGTTGCTCGTAGTTTAGAGCTGCCTCCTGTTCATGTTCTGCGCCGTCCTTAGAGCAGCAAGAATCCGGTAGCGATAAAGCTGTAGACAGAATGATCGATGTAATGAAGGTAATGTATATGATATGTATATGTGCATTTGCTGCATGTACATATCTTAATTATCTTAATATATGATAATATATGTATCTCTAGATATCTCTAGAATTATGTAGACATATGTCAAGTATGTATGTATGTACAAACATAGAAAGACAAGATACCAGTAGGTACAATAACTCGGAATGATTCAGGATGACTCTAAACACGCAAATTGGAGGCTCAAAGCATTTGCTTCCTGGCCCTACCACAAACTTGTCGGATTGCCACCAGTGGATTCGTCGAAGGTTAAGCCTCTCTAAGTGCCTGGCCGGAATTGCAGTGCCTGGACACGGAGAAGGTTGGAATGCATCCGAATGCAACTACTCAAAGCGAAGCAAGAGCATTGCTTACATGGGACCCATGGGAACATACTTCACTGAAAGACTCACAGCACTCGACCACGACTATGAATTCATGAACATTCTCCATGAGTTCAAATCTGGAAACGTTCATCAAATCTGTGTCTTGGTCCAATCCGTACAGCAAAAGAAAAAAACATTCTGAGCTTTGGACTCATCCCTCCATCGCTCCCCTCCCTGGCAGCTCTTAGGCAAATTCCACTGGAACATACTGGAACCGCATCCAGCATCTCTGTGAAAATTTGGTGCAGAGTTGGGAGACTCAACTTGGATTCATTTGAAAGTGTCATCAGTCTCAGTCTTAGATTTCGAGACAAAATCCTGATGATTTGATGGAAATTTCTTATGGGAAGTTGTCATCTCGGGCCGAGGGCTCAGATTCCTCGGGCCTTGGTGATGGTGCAGCAGACTGCCGCGGTGTGTGCAGGGAGAAATGCGACAGCTCAAGCGGCCTGAGAGCCGGGAGAGCTGGGAATTTGAGGTGCCAATATGTACCAAACGACATCCAAACGACATCCAAACGACATCCAAACGACATCCAAATGACATCCAATGACCAACGATACAAATGCAGTTGCGCCAGTATCTTTTATTGGCAACTTGCCAGTATCTTGACAAATTTCGCTCAGTAATCCAGCTACACCGTCTGCTACACACTTAAATTCGTGTAGTTTCGAACAGAAATGCTGACAGTTGCTTGGAAAGAAGGAATGAGTTGACTATTTTAACTCCTTTCTAAACCGGCTAAGTGGATAGACTGATGACGAGTTGAAAGTACTGCTTCGCAAAACAAGAGTTTGATGAGAAGCCTTTACTGGAAAGCAGTGCAGCTTTCGGGTTGGCTGAACAACCTATCCCCCACCTGGAAAGCGATGCCTTGGTTGGCACCTTTTTGGCCTCACAGCTTCAAAACATCCCTCGACAAAGACCTGTTCCAGCCTCTACCTGACTCTACCTGTCATCTTTAGGCCACTGCTGAGTCATGGCCGGCTGTCCGACTGTGATGGTTTTGCCCAGCCAGCTGTTTGTTGCGAAAGCAAGAGCCCCCACCATGCACCCACACCAGTCCTGCAAGGTCTCGGCATCGGTACACTCAGGTGGTAGCTCCATGTTGAGAAGCAGAAAAAATCAATTCACGGAGAAAAAATGCAATCATGCTCTCACTTGTCTGCATTTTTTTGGTACTGGATGGTACATGATGGTACTGCATGGTGCTGGCACAGTTTCAGTGTCTTTGCTTGACTTGGTGGAACTGGAAAGCGGTGTGAACGAGCAATGGTGGCAAAAACTGGGTGGAAGAAAGTTGTGCTGAAACGTTCCAAATTAAAATTATTATGTTTTTTCGTGCGCAAAGTACCTATAATGAGAATGCTTCTTTTCGCTTGCTATACCATGAAAACATACGTCACCATATTTTGTTCTGCCTTTTTCTGAGCCGTTGCACAGTGGTCAACAAGTCAAGTCAGTGCCATGATTCAACAACTCAATGCAAATCACAGTCATTCACAGTCTCTGTGAATATGCTCTGTCTGGCTGGTCAGGCTGGTCAGGCTGGTCAGGCTGGTCAGGCTGGTCATCTTGAAAATCTTTGACAGCCAATGACAGGCATCAAACCTTCAGGACATTGAGGATGACGAGCAAGTGGTTGTGCACCTGAAGCGAGCAGTGCCCAAGCAGAACCACTGCTGTTTTGAAGGACTTGGCTGAGAGTGACCCAAAAGTTTGTAACAGTTTGCATTGTCTTTCACTACAATGGCATCAAAGGCATCCACATCTTTGCATAGTTCTTCCGTCTTTGTCTGCGACCTGGTTGCGGAAGCCACACTAGCAAATACTGCGCTGATTACACTGGGTGCCTTTGCAAGACAATTCCTCTTGCCCTGAAAGCATTCAAAGGAAAGGGTCGGCTTGAAATTGAATCATAGAGTAGGCAAGGATGTGTTAGCACTTGGGAAAGCGAATGGTAAAGGGCACGAGGCACAATCAAGAAAACGTCACCAAATTTAAAAGATCTTAAAAGCATAGCAACTGGATGGCGGTATATGTGTTCTGTATGTTCTGTATTGTTCTGTTGTATCTTAAGCTTCAGCCCTCAGCTGTATAAACCTCCAAACCACAGCAGGGGATACAGATCCGCTCAGGACCTGAAACCATTGGGCCCATTTGGGCCCCCTGGCTCCGGAGTGCTCGGGCAGCTCAGGAGTTGACCCACTTCACATGCAAGCCTCAGCTGAGCTCAGCTGTGTGACGAAGGGTGGCGATATCTCAAGATATTAGGATATATTAGGTATATAATACGGTATGTATGTGTATGAGGTATGCCAGGATATGCCAGGTATCCTGCTGGTGTATACCTCCCAGATTTATAAATCCTCAGCCAAGGCCCAGACTTTTGCACTGCATCCCGTGGACTGTGCCTGACCACTGTTGGGTATTTAATGGTATTTTTCTACGTGGTTTCTCTATGAATCGCCCTACAGTCCTACGTAACCATTTGCAGACAGGCCTGGATGACTTCCGTGCAACTGGCAAGCACCTGGTGGTGCCGGCTGACCGTGGCACACATCGGCACAGGTTTTTGTTCCTTCTATTTTTGCCGGAACCGTGCCTCGCAGGAGTGCTGAGGCGGCGGAACAGCTCCTGCAGAGCGGGTTGTTTTGTTGCGATGTTGTTTTCGCTGCTCATTTGCTCATCATGTTTACCTTTTCACCACCCTGGGACGGATGAGGCCTGCGATTTGAACAAGATTCCCATGATCGCAACCTGCAGCGACCAAAGTCTGTTCAGCGCAGCAGTTCCAAATTACAGTGCTTACTCTTGCAGATTGGGGCAGTGGCTGGGTTCTCCAAACCAATGCAAACTCTGGGGACGGTCAGTCCCAACGCGGCCTCGAAAAGAATCACAAATTGAAATGACATAAAGGCAAAGCAATCTGAACAAACCAGAAGCAGCACACAGTGTAAATTGAAGCAACCAAACAAAATAACAGTTCCAAACCTTGCTATCTTCAAAGGTGTGCTGTGCAACTTCTAGTTTGAACTAACTGACTCGGATCGGTTGTTGCCGCTAAATTTTGCGTTGTGCCCCTATATAATATGTGTCATAAAGGGTTACTTGACACTACATAAAAAGGGGCATGAGACAATCCATACCACTCAGGGTTGCCCTCAGAAAGAAAACAAAAAAAAACAACAATAGATACAACACACAGTCTGATGCATTGAATGCAGACTTGCCGTTTCGTGGGAGTCAAGCAGAATGCACAATGCGACCAAACGCAGTCAGAGAGAAAGGTTCAGCACAGAAACGTGAGGGTCTCACCCAGGTTGCGGCCGCTATTCAAGCATCATCGCCTTTGGGGTGGCTGTGCCTCATGCAAAAGCACAGTCATTTCGTCCACTCAGAGCTTGGCAAACCAAGTTCAGCCAAGGTTTATCACGACCCACCAAATTCTATTAAATCCTTTTGGGGCTACAGCATCTCAACATATTTCAACCTTGCATTGATAAACCTTTAAAAAAAACACCGAAACAGTCCACAGCCTGTTTGCACAGCCGAGGCTGCCAGGCGGTCGGGCCCCTCCTGCGCTGAAACAGGGCATCAAGCACAGTAGGAGTAAGTGAAACCACTGTTGCCACAGTTGCCACCGTTAAAAAAATACATATTTATAGGTTTTTATATACACACACATATATATATATATATATACAAAAACAACACAAAGCAGTGCATAGTACATAATACAAAATACATAATACACAAGAAATACATAATGCATCATGCATTTTGCATAATACATAATACATTTTGCACCGTACATCGTACATACTACATAAGACATAACCCTTACAAATAGACGCACTACCCATAAACAGAATTGTTTTCTCTAGGTATATATAAGCGGCCGAATATTTCCAGTGCATGCTGCATGGTCAAGTCCCTGAGGACCGCACCGCAGGGTGCCCACAGCAACCCGTCCCGCAC